TCAATTAAAATGTAGATGAGTTTCTTTTGGTTTGTTCTTGTTTTTAAAGGCTTCGATATCGGGACCAGCAGTTAGCGTAATGGCTATGTCGCTGGACTCCCATGTAGTCGACTGTGGTTCGAGTCCTGGACCCGGTGGCTTAAACTCACGCCGGGCTCGTGCGTGTGCGTGCCCAAGATCCTGAGAGGAGAGTGGAGGAGAAGGGATTAAGGCGTGGCCATCCCCCCCGGGGGTTGATTTCTTGCTTTCTGTCTCTCTGTCTCTCTCTGTCTGGCGAGCGCACGTGCCCTGTAGTGAAAACCTCCCCCCCCCAAAAAAAAAGGACTTCAGTATCAAAACCTGGAGCTTTATTATTGCATATGTCAGAGCAAAAAAGAATCACACGCTCAGATATCAGGAAAAATCTAGTCAGCTGGTAACGGGACAAGAGCGAAATCTACGAGCGAATCTCTTAGCGAGTTTTCCACGAGGCATCCATAACTGCTGAAAACAACCAAGGCTATGGGGATGATAGGAAATTACAGAGTAAGGAGGGCTTTGGGGACCAGCAGTTGGCATAATGACTGTGTCACTGGACTCCCATGTAGTCGACCACTGTTCGAGTCCTGGACCCAGTGGCTTAAACTCACACCAGGCACGTGTACATGTGTGCCCAAGATCCCGAGAGGAGAATGGAGGAAAAGGGATTGCGGCGTGGCCATCCTCCCTGGGGGGTGATTTCTCGCTTTCTGTCTCACTGTCTCTCTCTTTCTGGCAAGCACATGCGCCCTATAGCAAAAACCTCCAAACAAACAAACAAAAAAAAACAGAGAGAGGAGGGCTTTTAAGCAGAGGAAGGGGCGTTGGTCCTTTTGCGAGTAAATAAGATTGCTATGACCCTAGATCACAGAGGGTGGCCGTTTTGCAGAGGGCTTTAAAGCAGCCCTGGTAGGAACGATCTGTAATTGTTCTTGAGTGGTTTGTGCATTTGTTCCCTCAGGCAGTTTAGAGAAACCTCCGGCCTTGTTTACTGTTAATTTGCCTGACAACCCTTGACCCTCTAGTCAACATAAATAAGCCATCTTCCTGAGCAGCATTTCCTGCAATAGAATCCAGAGGTTTATGAAATACAAGTGTCTTTTGCAAAGTTTGTGGAAAGATATGAAATACAATTAATGCGCACATCCATTTTGGTGTAAAAACCTTTTGGCCTAATACCCATTTTCTATAAACTTTTTGAAGACCCCTTATATATTTTTGAGGACCAAGGACCAAGAAGAATGTTAAATAGTTGCCCCTTGCATTTTATGATAAAATTGAAAAATATTAGTTATAAAAATATCTTACAGTGATTATTTTCAATTAGAATAAATTTTAGTGATGGAAGTCCTTAATTTCATAAGCTGAAATTAAGGACTGTTCTGTGAGCCTAGGTAGAAGCAAAGATAAGGAAATTATTTTTCTTTTTCTTTTTTTTAAAGAATTATTTATTAAATTAAATTATTATTATTATTATTATTATTATTATTATTTTAATTTGACCAGAGAGAGGGAAAGTGAGAAGGCAGCCGCCTGTCTAGGACTCGAACCATGGTCAGTTATGTGGCAGTCCACCTTCTCATCCACGATGCTACCTGCCGCCCCAAGGAAATTATTTTTCTTGAGAAGAGAATTTCTCACATTTAAGGAACAGTGGTTTTAATCCTGCCACCTGCCCACCCTAAGTTTGACTTAGATAGAAAATTCACCAATGGGTCAACCAGGTGGCTTGGTGGTGAAGGTAGCTGGATTATACATGCCTACTGCGGAGTTCACGTCCCGGGCCCATCAGCTTGAAAACACACTGAGCGGCCGTGTGTGTGTGTCTGTGTGTGTGTGTGTGTGTGTGTGTATGTGGCCAAAATCCCGAGGAGAGAGGGAGAGAAGGGATCCTTGTGGTCACGCCCCTCGGGGGAGCTTTTGCACTTTCTCTTTCCCCACTCCTCTCTCTGGAGAGTGCACATGCCCTATAGCAAATTTTAAAAAGAAAGGAACCACAGATGGCATAATGGTTACATCACTGGATTCCCACATAGTCAACTGCAGTTTGAGTCCCGGACCCAGTGACTTAAAACTCATGCTGGGCGCGTGTGCGTGCGTGCCCAAAATCTCGAGAGGATAATTAGAGAAGAATTGCTGTGCGGCCAACCCCCCTGGGGGTGATTTCTTGCTTTCTGTCTCTCTCTGCCTCTCCGGTGAGTGTATGCATCCTATAGCAAAAATCTCTCTAATAAAAAGGAAAATGGATGTGACAACCCAGCGCCCGCCTCACAGGAACCACACTGAACTGCGGCACTGGGGGCCGTTCAGCCAATGGTGGGTCGAGATCTCCCCGTGAATCACTCTCACGGTCCTGACGGGCTGGAAGGGGTCCTGGCATGAAGAGACCCAGCTAAGGTGCTTCTTTTCCTCCCCCTGCCCCGTGGGTGTGTGCTCTCTCTCGGGATAAAATAAAGGCACTTTTAAAAAAGCACAGTGGCAGGCTCAACAGTGATGCTAGGCTTTAAGTGCCGCACTTACAAAAGCAAGTTGAATGTACAACATACCCTGTACTTAGCAACACCATATTGTGCACTTACAAATTGGCTGAAAGAGTAGTTTTATTTATTTATTTTGCCAGAGGGCGTTGCACACAACAGAAAGAGAGAAAAGAGAGAGCGCTTCTCGTGGGGCCTGGTCATGCCAGTTTCTTCTCCTCCACCTCTACCTTCTCTTGGGATTTTGGACACACAGGTGCATCGCACGTGTCTCAAGTCTCTGACGTGAACTGTCCAAGACTTGAACTGTGCGTTTATTTGGCCATGTGAGATGCAGTCGCCCCAACCACCATGCCACTTGGGTGGCCCAGGGCAGGTGAAGTGTTCTCATCACAGAAGTAATAACTAAAAGGTGAGAGGACACTTCTGGAGGTGGCTGTGCTTGTGGGGGGCACTGTGGTGCTGTCTCCAAACTCAGCGAGATGTGCACATTAACCACGTCAATGAGATCTCAATAAAGTGGTCTAAGAAAGAGCTGAAGGGGCGAGATCGGGGCTCGGTAGGGAAACGTGATGCTCTGTGAGCCTCACAGAGCCTTCCCACATGGGAAGGCTGCAGGCTTGCATCTGGAGACCTCCCTGAGTGAGCTGGGCATGTGTGTGCCCACGATACTGGGCTGGCCGGAGCTGGGAGTGGATCGTGGCATCAAGACCCTATTGGGGGTGCTGTTTTTCTCTCTAGTTCATGGAATAAATACACTTTAAAACAAGCCGAAGCATAACTCTGTGCACCGTTAGAGCAGATTGTGCATGCGTGTGATGAGATTCAGTGGTAGCCCTGTATTTTCTTTTTCTTTCTGTTTCTTTTTTTTCTTTAAGGTTTTTGCCATAGGGTGCATGCACTCACTGGAGAGAGACAGAGGCAGTGAGAGGGAACATGAGAAATCACCCCCCCGGGGGCATGGCCATGCCGTAATCCCTTCTCCATTCTCTTCTTGGGATTTTGGGCGCACACGTACACACGCCCTGTGTGATTTCCAAGTCATCAGGTCTGGGACTCCAAGCGTGTCCGACACGTGAGAGTCAGGGCCTTACCCGCTGCACCCCAGCTTGTCCCCAGAGCCTTGTGTTTTCACGTTCGATTTGGGACTTTCCCATTTTGCAGTCCTCATACCAATCGGTGAAATTAGGCAGGGGTTTTATCTGCATTTTATACGCAAATGACCGAAACTTGGAGTCCTCGAGTTCGGTGGCCGTGCTCTGTGCACGTTGCTGGGACCACACCCTCATCCTGTCTCCCCGTTCCCTCTCAGAGGGCAGCAAACTTTCCGGAGCGCCTCCCGCGAAGTGCTCTCTTCCCTCCACTGCTAATGCTCTCCCTGGCTGGCCTCCACGATCCCTGCCAGGCTCGCTTCCTGGGCCGGACCCTCGTTAGCATCTCTGCAAAGTGCCGCAGTCTGGTGCTGTGATCCTCAACTGCGGCTTCGAGATCCACACGCACGCTGGCCTCCGCCCTGGAGCTTTGAACAGTCTCCCCAGACATGCCCATCCCTCATTAAACTGCACTTACCCCCACGCACACTGCGAATATCTTGTCAGAGGAGTCAGAGCCTGAGAGGCAGGCCCCCCAGAATCCTCTCCCTCCCTGGGTCTTTCCAGCCTCTTCATCCAGGCTGAGACTAGTCGCTTCTATTCACTGATCGTCTCTGAGTCTTCCCTCTGCTCCCACTCTCTCGCACGTGGCCTCTTAGACATTGATTGTTCCTGGCCCTGGGCTGTCCCTCGTGTCATCGGCACTGCTCACCCCCTTGGGCTCCCTCACCCCACCTTGCCCTCAGCCACCAGGTTTTCCTGATCCCAGGGCAGCTCTGAGCTTTGCTTTGCCTGTGGCCTGCACAGTGGCCCCTCTGGTCTGTCCAGACAGGGATCCCCAGGCCTCTGCAAGTTGGGGCTGCATTTCTGTTCATTTTGATTCCTCAGCTTTAAAACTCCGCAAGTTATTTTGTTCATGTGAAGAAAACAGAATTTTGTAACTCTTCTCCTCTCCCGCTTTCTTGCCAAAATCAATTGGGTGTTTTGAATGATTAGCTAGAGATAACAGTTCAGGAGCTAATAGTGTGACTGAACGCGCGTGTGTGTGTGTGTGCGTGTGTGTGCGCGCGTGTGTGTGTGTTTGTGTGTGTGTGTGTGTTCCACCTGTAAGTTTGGGGCATGTAGGAAAGATATTTTTCCTGTTCATTGGGATGTTAATTTTATCCAAAAAACCATGCTTCTGAAAGGGTCGGAACCATGAATGAATGGGGCAGAGATCAGTTCCCTGGGCAGTTTTCAACCCAAATTTGGTAATGTTGATATAAAACCTGCTTAACAAAAAGCACCCGAGGATAAACATGGAAAATGTTAGTGCTACTTTCTGCTTAGCCTATATTGTTATGAGAACAGCACATTGAAATTATGTTAATCACAGAGAAAGACTAGACACTCTCTCTGTTTTTTTTTTAAACAGGATCAGTTTGACAACTTAGAAAAACACACACAGTGGGGAATTGATATTCTTGAGAAATACATCAAATTTGTAAAGGAAAGAACAGAGATCGAACTCAGCTATGCAAAGCAACTCAGGTAAGTTCTGGCTGCAAAATATATATAAGGAGAAGTTATGTTTTCATTCTGTAGTGCAAATGTATAATCCTTTTAATAGTTTGTTATGTAAGGTCATTTCAACAGAAGCTATTGTTTTACATAAATAAGTTAATTTTTATAGAGCAGTAAAAACAAAAACTAAGTTTCTACTTTTAGACTTGATTTTTTATTGTTGATATTTTTTAATTATTTCATTTTATTTCTTATCATTAGCCGTAGCATTCAATTTGAGCAGAGAGAGACAGAGGCAGAGAAAGAGGGAGAGCAAGAAAGCCAGCTGCCAGGTCCAGGACTTGAACCATGGTTCGCCATATGGGAGTCCAACACCTTAACCACCATGCCACCTGCCAGCCCCTTGTTGATTGTTGATTTTTCTTTCTTTTTTTTTTTGAGAGGTTTTTGCCACAGGGTGCATGCACTCGCCAGAAAGACAGAGACACAGAAAGTGAGAAATCACCCCCCAGGGGGGATGGCATGCCACAGTCCCTTCTCCATTCTCCTCTCGGGATCTTGGGCACACACGCACACGCACATGCACCCGGCGTGAGTTTAAGCCACCAGGTGTCTAGGACTCAAACTGCAGTCGTCTACATGGGAGTCCAGTGACATAGCCATTACGCCAACTGCTGGTCCCTATTGTTGATGTTTTTTAATTGTTAGATGGTGCATGTGCTCACTGAAGATAGGGAGAAGGAGGAAGCAGCCCCAATGGGGCGTGGTCATGCCACAATCCCTTCTCCTCCATTTCTCTGTCTTGCTGGGATTTGGGGCATGTGTGCACACGCACCCTACATGTTTTTCAAGCCACCAAGACTGAGACTCCAGCTGCATGTAGACCATGTGGGGGATCTGGCTCCCTTACCCACGAGGCCACAGGTCCAGCCTGATCTTGTGGATGTTAGCAGTGTGTTGGGGCCCAGCCCTGGTGGCAGACAGGGGTGTACTGATCTGCAGTGCTGGGAGCCACGTGGCTGACTGCGGGTTGGGTCCTAAAATATGCTGGGCCCATGGGCTCCAGGCCCGGGCTAGCTGGAGGGCTGGCATGAGCGGAGCATGGTGTGATGTGACCCTGCTGGGGGTATTGGCCTCCCACCCCCATCTCTCTCTTCCTTGCTCATGGAGAAGATAAATAAAACTTAAAAAAAAATTATTAAATAAAAACAAGTACTTCAGATCTCCTTAAATCTACAGTGATGAGGTTATCCAGTGCATCTGTGCTTTTATAGAAAACCTTTCAAAGTCATCGATAAGCTTAAATTCAGTGGCATCTCGACCTGGAATGGTTTCCTGGTGTGTAGTTGAATTGGTTCGTGCATGCTGTTTCGAGACTTGTTCAAGATCTAGACAGATTTCAGTCCACAAATGTTTTGTTTTGATCCAGATAGCCTCGGCATAAGGGGTAGGTCACGTGTCATGGAAAGAATGTAGGCTCAGGCCAGCCGGTGGCATGGTGGTTAAGGCAGCCGAATCCCACGTGGCCGACCTTCAGTTCCAGGCTTGGATGCGGTGGCTTGAACATGCCAAGCACATGTGCGCACATGCCCAGAATCCAAAAAGGAGGGAGGGAGGAAGGGAGGAGAGGGCCGTGGTGACTGTTCCCCGTGGAAGGTGTTCGCTCACCGTCTGCCTCTCTCTGGTGAGTGCACACGCACGCTGGCGACTTAAAAAAGAAGAATGCAGGTTTTCACAGATTGGTTGTTCAAATAAGCATCTGAGTGGTCTGTGTGGAATATATTTATGAATGAAAAGTTTTGTTTCCACTGAGTAAATAAATGCAGAACATTGCTCCACAGAATGATTTCGACGACTGGAGGATCCAGATCTAGGGCCCATCCAGTGCTTATCAGTCTCACCAGACCTTAAGGCTTTTCAAACAGATAGTAAGACTAGAACAGGTTTGCTCATGCCGATGGCGTAAAATGTCTTCCTGTAGAAACGGGCTACACAGCAGCGTCGGCACCATCTCCTGGTGCCCGTCCTGCCTCACGGGAACGCCTCCCCACTTCCCCACACAGTTCTCCCCCCCCAGCTGGCTCACGATGCTGGCTCCCCCCGCGTTCTAGGTCCTTTTCTCTCTCCGTCTGCCCTGTCTCAGTGATCTCCTGTGCCATGGCTCCAGGTAGACCAGCATGGCAGCGACTCCCAGAGGTGCATCTCCCAGCCAGACTCCTCCCCTGAACTCACGAAGCGGTTGCTCAAATCTCCCCTTGTCTAAAAACACCCGAAACATAACAAGTCTGGAACTGGACCACTGATCTCTGCACTCCCACGGCCCCACTCCCCACTCACAGAGGCAGCTGCGTCCTTCCTGGCCTAGGTCAGAAACCACCCCCGTTGTCGGGGGCTCCCCTTCTCTCACACCACCCCATCCAGGCCGTCAGGAAATCCTGGCAGCCCACCAGTTCTTTCCACCTCCACCGCTACCACTGTGGTCAAAGTCACCACAGTCCCTTAAGAGCAGTGATCATTGTCGTGTTCCCTGAAGTATCCCAACAGCGTGGGACAGTGCCAGGCACAGAGCAGGTGCTCAGGAAATGTAGGAGCACATCAGCAGGGTACAGGTGTGAGATCCGGACTCGGCACTGCTTCCCGGGGAGCTGTGGTTCAGTTCCCGAGTCAACCTGAACTGGCTGTGAATGCCCACATGCCTGCGATCCTGGCTGGCCGGGGAAGGGGAGGGGAGGGATCGAGGCGCGGACCCTGCTGAGCATGCCTGTCTCTCTTTCAACAAATAAATGGATAGGCTTAAACAAAGGAATTTAATCTTTTTAGCGAATGTTTGGAACAAGCTCCAGGATGTGGAAAAGCAAGGGGTATACTGAGGTGCTGGGGAAGCCAGGAAGACACGGATCTGCCTGCAGATGCGTGAAACCTCTGTGGCAGGGCACTTCGGAAGTCTTCAGTCTTCACGTCACTTACTTCCTGAGAGGAACGCCACGAGACAGGCTTGGAGAAAGAATAGCATTTCTTATCTTTGGGGGTTTTAAGTACACAAAAACATTATCTGGTCCTAGTAAATAATTAAGTTTATAAAGAGAAATGATTGCTAACAGCACTTAATAATAGATTCTTAGACCATCTTGTTGGTACTTTGGGCACAGACGCATCTGCACCTGGCATGTTTTTCAAACTGCCAGGATTGGGATTTGAACCACAGTGAGCCACATGGGATCCAGCTCCCTCAACCACAAGGCCATGGGGCTGACCTCATGTTGCAACTTTAAACAGGCTCAATTGACTCGCTGCTGGGAAAGATAAGGAACATAATACCTGTGATTTGGCTCTGTAAGGAGCCCCCCAGGTAATTTGTCTTAGTTCTGTGTTAATGCAGATTGATGCTCAACTCCGCCCTCCCACCACCGCCTCTCTGCTCGTTTTCTGGTGCCAGGGGAGGAACCTCCCCCAAGGAGGATTGAGCAGCCATTCAGCTGGGTGTTGTCTGGCCATGTGTCTTTCTCTCCAAACCGTCTTGTTGCATTGTCTTCTGGTAGAAAAATGCGAGGCCAGACAGACCTTTCTCTTTGTAGTTGACCTGGCATTTTCTGTATAAACACGTGAAGAAGTTTGTGTTCACCTTAGCAGTTTGGTAAACTTCACAAGCTATGCCTTGGTGTTAATCACTATTTAAATCTGTATGTATATGTATTTCTTCTTGAAAGCGAGAGGGACTCTGACAGGGTCTTGCCATGCCGCATTCTTTCCCCCAGCCTCCCAGCCTGCCAGGATCACAGATGGGTCCAGTGTGTGCATGTGGGTCTGGGATCCGAACCCTGGGCTTCCCCATACAGCTGCAGTGTCACACCACAGCACTGTGCCAGTTACGCCACCGTGCGGCCCTTCTTCAGTTTCTCTTACATCCCTTTATATGGAAATTATGTTTGTTTATTTCAGAGGAACTTTCTTTGATTATATCTAAATGTGTTTTTGTTCTTGTCTGTTGGTTTTAGTTTTTTGTGGGCGGGTGTGTGCGCTTGCCAGAGAGAGAGGGAAAGTGAGAAATCACCCCCTGGGGGGATGGCCACACCACAATCCCTTCTCCCTCGTTCTCCTCCAGGCCTTTCGGGTGCATATGCACATGCAGTCCGGGTGATTTTCAAGCTGCTGGGTCTGGGTCTCAAACCACAGTTGGCCATGTGGGAATTCAGTGCCTTAGCCACCATGCTACCTGCTGGCCTCCTGTTTTGTTGTTTTAATCAGGCACACATGTGTCATAAAGTGAGCGAGGAATGGAGCCCCCTTCTTCCCCGACAGGGCCCAGCCACACTGCGGTTCCCCTTCTCCATCCCAGCAGAACCCTGGGCACGGGCACGTGTGCCCGGCATGCTTTCCTCGAGCAGCTGGGGCTGGGTCTCACCCCGTGGTCGGCCCTGTGGGAGCTGGCTTCCTCCATGCCGTGCTCCCCACTTGCTCTGAAATGACCCTCTTCTTTTACATCTCGTGGCCAGCCTTGCTGATTTCTTTACCTTTTTCTTTCTTTCTTTCTTTCTTTCTTCTGTGGCTGAGAAAGAGAACAAGTAACCCCAATATGGTCTTCATGCCACCGTCCACTCCAGCCTCAGCCGGCCCCAGGTCACGGGCTCATATGTGTTCCCAGCACATTCAGGGAGATCTCAGGATATGAACCCAGAACCTTCCCACATGAGTCAGTCTTGCAGAGCATTTCATTACCACTGTGCCATTGACCAGCCCTCTGCTTTGTGTTTTTGTTAGATTTGTCTGGGGAGTTTGATTTTGCTTATTTTCCTTGTATGTTTTCTTCCAGGCTGGCCCTGGCTCTGGCTCTGGCATTACCTGCCATGTCTTTTCACCTTGCTTCTATTTAACATGGGCAATTTATTGACGTGGTTGGGTTCAGACCTCCAATGCCATGTTGTAATCATGGTTCTTTCTCTTAACAGCAGGGATTGGAGACTAATTACTCTCTGTGCTTTGCCTTGTCATCTGTAAAGTGTGCAGAACTGTCACTGTCGTCCTCGCCC